AATAGTGTCTTCTCAATTTTTAAACAAAAGCTATACACAAAACGTAAAGTAGAAAAAAGTACTCAGGGACTGTTTGTTTCAGCCTCTTAATGGTTCAGATGCCTGAATGGTTCAGCAGCACTTAATGGTTCAGACTGTTTGTTTCAGTCTAATGGTTCAGACATTTGCCTATGAATGGTTAAGTATTACACAGAGTCTGAATGGTTAAGACCTCTTATCTGAATTGATCAGACATTTGCCTCTGAATAGTTAAACAATATACTAGCTCTTAATGGTTCAGACCTCTTATTGGTTCAACACTTAATGGTTCGAACCTCTTATTGGTTCAGCACTTACCTATTCAGAAGTTGCCAAACAGCCCCTCAGTTCGGTTTGGTTTACATTAAATTTTTAAACAATGGTTGTTGAATCTATTTTTTTTGTATATCTTTGTCCCTGAATATTTGTCGAATTTTAACCTAGCTTTTGTAGTCAATCATTTTTAGCCTTTGACCTATAATTAAATAAAATATATTTTTTATTAATTAGATAAAATAGTATTTTGAAAATATTTTATAAAACGATCTAATACAATTATTTTTGTATCACTATCTAATTTTACTTTTATTTAATTTGTGGTCAAAGTTTGCTCATTTTCCTTGAGGGTCCATTTGGTACACGGAATTCAAACTATGGAATTTGAGACAATAATTCCACTTTCGCTGTTTGTTAACACAAAAATATGTGGATTAAGAATTAGTAGTGCCAAAAATGAATTGGAATTAGATAATTAAATTCTATCCAAATCAATTTCATAGAATTTCAACCCCTAATTCAATTTCAATCTCGTCAATTTTGTGTATCAAACGGACCCTGAAAGAAAAAGAGAAAAAAAACAAGATTAAAAAAAAGAAGATAACAATTACTCCCTTCGTCCCAGAGTATTTGTCCACTTTCATTTTTACACACCATCCAATGCACTTCTTTAATCCATTTTATCTTGTAATTTGTATATTAAAAAATTATAGAAATTATATATTAATAATCTATATGTTAAGACAAATCAAACAAGATCACACATGGATATATTTAGGCTTACACATTGAGAGAATTTGATGAGTCAAAGTGCTTAGATGAACAGTTCTAAAAGTCAAAAGTGGACAAAAACTGTAGGACGGAGGGAGTAACAAGCAAAGCCGGGTAGAGACATGTAAATAAATCCCAAGCCAAATGTAGGAGCGGGCAGGGGGTCCCTCAACTTCTTCAAAGGGGTTGGAATATATTCATCCCTTGGGAATAAATTCCCTAAAGGCGTATAAAGTTGCTTGAATAATAAGCAAGCATTAGTAATTTAGTATTGCCCTCTCAATGAAATATAATTTTTTATTTAAAAAAAAGTTAACATTACAAAGTTAATTACTTGAAATATATAATTTATAAAAACCCCACTACTTTATTATTAATTTTCTTAATTGTTATTGTAACTGTTATTATGGAATTTATGGTTATATATTAAGGTCAGGTTCCATCGACACCAACTTACGTTGACAGTAAGTTGACACAAATCATTTGGAGCACGTACGATGCATCGTTTGTAATTTTGATGGTTCATACCCTCGCTCTAGTTCCCTCATCGATTGGCAATAGACAATCTAGGAGGCTTGGGTGGGGTCAAGAGAGGTTAGGACTTAGGGAATAGCAGATATTAACTTTTTGAACGAAACACCGTAAATGTCTCAAATTAAGATAGTGTTGTTGGTTGACACTAGAAGGCAGTGTCATCGGATCCTTTTCGATAAATAAATAATACATAATGCAAGCATGGTTTATGAGCTCCTTAATTAATTCAAATGGTTATATTGAGAGTGTGTTTTATTTGCATGTGGAGGAGGGGAGTTGAAGGAGAATAGAATCTTTGCTTTGATTGATAATAAAGAGAAGAAAGCATATATTCCTTTAGTTTAGAGATAGGGGTGAATGGTAGACATCTCCTTATCATCATCTTCTTCAACATTTATTAGTTTTCTCATTCACCATATCCCTTAATTAGCTTGTCCGTCCCTTTTTTAAATTATTATTATTATTATTTTTACAATAAAATCATAGGTTTCCTTCACCTTCCTCTTGTGAGTTATTTTCAAATTATTTTATATGAAAAATAATGTATAAATGAAAAATACTCCGTAAAAATTATATATTTAAAAACTACATCAAAAAATCTACTTCGTATAAAACTAATGGTGACATGATTGTATTATTTTATTAAATAACTAATGAAAATAAGAAAAGAAAACGAATAAAATTTGAGCTTGTGAATAGTATACAAGCAATTTAATTTGAGACGAAAGAAGTATTAATTATATTTATTAACTGATTTTATAGTTATTTATATCATGTTGTAATATATTGAGCTCTCTTTTTTTTGTAATCTATTGAAAAACTTTTTAAAATTTAAAAGATTGGTATAGTATTAGTATAATTGATGTAATGATATTTCAAAATTACGACTCCCTCCGTTCCATAAAATCCTTCTCCTTTTGTTTTTTACCATTTCCCTAAAATAATTCCACTTTCTATTAAAAACCACTTTTACCCCTACTTTTTAATACCCTACCTATCACATCATATTTTTTTCACTAGTAACCAAACTATCACATCTTACTTTTACCCATAATATCAGAAGCAAAATTGGAAAATCAACCAAAATTACACTTTCCTTATTTTTGCCCAAAGTCAAAATGGGAAGGGTTTAAAGAAACGGAGGGAGTACCGAATACTACTCCGTATAATTTAGACTAATTGGTATATACCTTTTCGGGATACATGCACAAATTGTTCTTAACATTCGTTTTGTTTTCAAATAAGACTATCATTTTTGCATTCAAAAATAAAAAGACTTTACCATTTTTGCAATTGTAATTATAGTTGACCAATCCTACTGACAAGTAAAATGGGACTAACTTTTTTACTTGCTCAAACATAGCCTTTCAGGCTTTCATGTTACAGATTCATGTTATTTAGCCTATGTTCTTTAGGATTGAAAAAGATCAAAAAACAGTATTAAGTTGGAAAAAAATTGAAATATGAAATTATGAAAACTGGAATAAGTTGAAATAAATTAGGAGTTAGAATAAACTATGATAGGCTAGAATAATTTTGAAAAGTTGAAAAGTGTTGAAAAAAGCAAAAGAGTTAAAATAAATATTACTCCATGCTACATACATTAATAAAATTTCATAATCAGTATTTTTTATTAAAATAATTTATACTCAAATTTGTTTTGTCTCTTCTTAAAAATTGAAGACTTGCTATATTTGTCTCAAAATATATTTAGTAATCCTTTTCTCATAAAAAGTTCAACATTTCTTTTTTTATCCAATCAATAAAAGATTCCACTATCTACTTTGAAAAGCTCTTGTGGCTCATTTTTTTTTTTCCATGCACCGCTTTCAATCACATATTTTCATATTTCTTAATTTGTGTCTAGTCAAATGTAAAAAGTTTTTGCATGACGGAGAGAGCAATATTTATCTGTCTCTCATGCATTCATATTTTTTAACTTCAATATCAATCAACAAACTTTTCAACTATGGATCCTCTGTCCCAACTCTCTGTCCTATCGCCCATATTTTGAGACATAAACCACCCTGCCCCTAAAGTAATATAAATTCATATTTTAGGGGTGGTGGGATATGTACATGAGTAGGCGTGAGTTTATACTCCTTCCGTTCCAATTCAAATCGTCTATTTTAAATTACGATGTTTGACTGATGTTTTTTTTCAAATTTTTTATGAAAAACGGTAAAGAATTAAAAAATAAAAATTACATTTTAAAAACTAAATGAAAAAATCTACAAAACTACTTCCTTCGTCTCAATTTATAAAGCATGTTCACTATTCACATTGTCAAACTTCATTCACTTTCTTTATCTATTTTTGTTAGCAATTTGATAAAATAAAATATTACTGTCACTACTAGTTTTGTAGATCTTTTGATGTAGTATTTTAATATGTACTACGTAATTTTTATTTTTTAATTTTATACCATTTGTCATATAAAAGGATTTAAAGATAATTTCAGTCAAACATCGTAAACTGAAACAGGAACTATAAATTGGGACGGAGAGAGTAGTAGTGACATGATTATATTACTTTATCAAAAAACTAACGAAAATAGGGAAAAAAAATGGTTAAAAAAAACTCTGTGAATATTAAACAAGCAATTTAATTTTAGGGGTGAATTGGGTTATATGTCCAAATATGGGTTGCGGGAGAGGGAATTAGGACATGATGAGGGGAGAAAGCAACATTTTTTATTAATGTTCATTGAAAGAAAAAATGTACATTAAGATAATCTAACATTTGTTCGATTAAAAATACATAATAAGCACACACAACACATTATTCACTAAAATAATTACAAGTTATAATATGTCTCAGAAAAATGAGTGCACAGTAAACCGAAGATGTTAATTTTTTGTTGGAAAATGCAATTCTGAAATGGTTTTTTTCAGATTATGCAAAGAAGAAAAGACAGTAACTAAAACACTACTAATGTTAAAAAAATTACCCAAATAAGTATTAAAAACAAATTTCATTAAAAGTTGCGTTAACCGATGTTTGAAAGTTCTTATGTTATAAATCTAGATGTACAGTGTTACAAGTTACACGCTCATTTGGTACATTTATTTTAACAATAATACTATTACTATTATTATTATTATTATTATTATTATTATTATTATTATTATTATTATTATTATTATTATTATTATTATTATTATTATTATTATTATTATTACTTCATATTATTACGGAGTATTATTAATCATCATCATTTCCGTCCGAAATTAATCATGCACTCTTCAAAAAATCTCTAAAAAAAAGTTTAAAATGTAAAACAAGTCTGTAAATGCTCATGCATCATCTCTGGATTATTTTCAACAATACTCCGTACATCATAACTTTTTATTAAATATTTTAAAAAAATAGACAACTAATTGCAAATAAGAGAAAACAAAACATTAGACAACTAAATCCAGAAAAAAAATATTAAATTACGGAGTATAAGGTACACTTATGTGTCCACAGTATTTATGCAACCTTTCTGTACCTTTTTCCTCATTTATTTCCTGTTTATTTTTCTTCTGGTTTTTTTTATTTGAACTAAAAGTAGGATCCCTTAAAACAATTTTTATTTCCTATTGAGGTCATACCCCACCCTCCACAGACCCATTGTGGGGTATGAGATTTTACTGGGTTTGTTGTTATTGCATTTCGTCACACATTTAAAAACAAAAAAACAAAAAAAAAATGCAAAAAACTCTGTAACCTCATCGAGATCAGAAACTTAACTCACCTCAACAGTTCACTTGAGTAAAATTATAACCTGTGTTTGAGAGAACTCTCACCTTAAACCACGGCATCAAGCTTATTACGAAGGCCTTGAGAATGTGCATAACACTAGGGCGCATTGCAAACTGAAGCCTCAGGGTTTTAGGAGTTCATGTTTCCCATACACACATATTTCATCTGCACCAAGAAAACAAAGCACACCCAGATTAGTGATGGGGGGATCAACTCGTTTTTTTCTTGTACGCAAGTCGAATGTTCTAAACATGGAACTAAAAAAACAGTATAAATGTGCAGAATCGCTTATTGTATTTTTTTTCCCTACTACGGGGAGTATTCACAAAGTAACTGCATGTACATACTTCAAGGTATTCATCCATCCCATACTTTGAGCCTTCTCGGCCAAGACCCGATTGTTTCATGCCACCAAACGGAGCCACCTACATCAGAAGAAAAAAAACCGCATGAAACTTAAGCTTAGTAAAGAATGATATGACAAAAAGATGGCCAACCTCAGTTGAAACTAGCCCTTCATTAACTCCAACTATTCCATATTCAAGAGCTTCCGTGACTCGCCAAGATCGTTGAATGTTTGTCGTGAATAAATAGGCAGCTAGACCTGCAAACGGAATATAAGTCACATTTAGTTGTGATTCTTTCGTAAGAGAATGAATAATTAATTGGAATTAAAGACGGGTTGGAATTGAATTAAACAACATTCTAGGAAGATTTCTTCTATCGAATTCCTCTCCTTCATCACTGTTGTGTGAACCTATGACTGAGCCACATGAGAAGGAAGAAAGTTTTGTCATCCTTTTTTATCTCTCTCATAAACCCGTAACACAAACATTGTTTGGTTCAACAAATTTGAAAGGGAAAAAAAGAAAATGAGATGGAAAATATTTTTTTGTGTTTGGTTAGAGAGGAAAGAAAAGAAAAGTGGGAGAAGAAAATGAGAGGAAAGAATAAACTAAGAAGAGGGAAAATAGACTTCCTTCCATTTCGGTGAGGAAAAGTTTTTTTTCATTTCCTTTCCGTCTCAATTCCTCGAACCAAACATAATTGAAGTATTAAATAATCCTATCAGAATAAGAGTAGCACTAGCCGTAACTTGTCTGTATGAACACACGTCTCCTGCAATTTTTCATAGTCCATCCACCACTGCTAAAAGGACTAAGCGCCACCGCTACTTGGTCTACTCACTTCATCTTAGTTTACCTTTTCATTTTTTACAAACAAGCCACACCAGAGACCTCAAAGCAAATTTGTATAGTTGAATATACAGCTAACAACTTTAAGAGGAACAGTCTAAATACTAAAGGGACCATGAAATAAAACACAAGAACTGACAACACAACCAGACACTTGAGAAACAATTCACATCAATATTGGCTTTGTTTTTTTGTTCTTGCAAACAGCGCACACTAGAGCTCCTATCCTCCAATCTCAAAGCAAATTCGTAAAAATATATTTGAATATATAGCTAACAATTTTAAGAACAGTCTAAATACTGAAGGGACACAATCACACAATTGAGATTTCATTCCCGTCAAGACTGGATACAGCACACAAATATGTGGCACAAACCTGCATTGGTGTCATTTGCCATTTGGATAGCCTCGTCCTCAGTTTTGAACTTTAAAAGAGGTGCAACTGGCCCGAATGTTTCCTCCCTGAATTAGGAATTAAAAATCCAAGGTTCTTTTATAACAACAACAACATTACCCCAGTGCCTCAAATGGCTCCCGCCCATTGCGGGGTAAGGGGGGCGGTCGGATGTAGGTTCTTTTAAAATAAACTTGAATTTGTTATAAAAGGTTCTTTTATAACAAATTCAAGTTTATTTTAAAACCTATAATGATGTCAATTGAGCATTTAGATTTTGATGGGTCTGGCAGGTGAAGATAGCAACCACCTGTCAGGAATACCCACTAAAGGAAGCTAAAATATGAAGAATTTAAAGAGAATGTAACATATATTTGATGTAGTTATGAGTTGTGTTATTCTCATCCATCACATGCATCAAATGTCAAAGACACATATAGGGCATATCAAAGGATAAGCATGTACATTACATGTTGAGAAACATTACAAAGACACTTTTAATCTTTTGCAGCCATAACTCAAAAAAAAAAAAGTGGCTGATATATTTCTCAGTAGCCAGTCTACCAATGCCTACTTGTCGGTTTACTAGTCAATAGCCAGTCACAAGTCTATTTGTCGTTAGCTGATCTTTAAAAAGTTAAAATGGTGCAAAATTTTGACATAATGACCACATTGAGTTTGACCTTCAACACGTGAGTCTTAAAGATATGAAATAATGCAAACCACTTTCGTTAAAAAAAAAGTCATGGGTATGTGGGAATATCATCGATGAAGATGACAAAAAGTCTGAGGTAGACTTGACACAATATGAACCCCAAACATCTGTATGAACTAGATCAAATGGGGAATCAAAACTTGTTATTAGTCCTTATGGGAAAGGACTGTCCAGGCAGATTGTCAAGGTAACAAGACTAAAACTCACAATCTAGTGATGAAATACTTGGCAAACATGGGACCATATGCCAAAGTTTCAAAAGGATCAGGTGGCCCATGAGGTTACAACAACAACAACCCAGTTGGATCCCAAGCAAACCATACCCCTACTCGAGTTGGATCCCACGCAAACCATACCCCTACTCGAGGTGGCCCAGGAGGTTATGAATGGTAATTACAAACATGGAAGACACACAAGCAACTCAATCAAGAGGATGAACGTAAAAAATAACCCTGATATTCAGACCTGACACCCATTATCTCTCCTATATGACGCTCCTGAATAATCATAGAATCAACACAAAATATTATGGAGCAAATTGATAGAGTTTAGGATGGGGTAGAGATTAGTGGATTGGGCAATAAAACACTTGGGTTGAACCACATTAAAAGATTGAATCCAATCGATTAGTTAGTTCAACTCAAGGGCTTATATACCGGTTTATTTGCTCTTCAAGTTCCGATGTGGGATACTCTTTAACACTCCCCCTCAAGTGGACAACCGGGCCATTTTGAATCTAACCGGTTGACCACTTGTAAATGAACTCCCATTCCCTTGACTTTTTTTTTTTATGAGCGCCAACACCTAAAGGACCACGAGTCGCTGGGTATGGACTTCCAGACGAGCAATCGTGTTAAACAGGCCACAGGCCGTTGGGTACATACTCCATACGGACAACTGGGCTAAAGACTAACGGGCCGCTAGGAATGAACGTCTAGACGGACACCTTGACAAACGAGGTGGGCTAAAACTGGCTCTGATACCATGATAAATTTAGGATTGGGTGTGGATAACTGGATTGGGTAACAAGACACTCGGGTTGAACCACATTAAAAGATTGAATCCAATCGATTAGTTAGTTCAACTCAAGGGCTTATATACCGGTTTATTTCCTCTTCAAGTTCCGATGTGGGATACTCTTTAACACTCCCCCTCAAGTGGACAACCGGGCCATTTTGAATCTAACCGGTTGACCACTTACAAATAAACTCTCATTCCCTTGATTTTTTTTTGAGCGCCAACACCTAAAGACCACGAGCCGCTGGGTATGGACTTCCAGACGAGCAATCGTGTTACACGGGCCGCATGCCGTTGGGTACACACTCCATACGGACAACTGGGCTAAAGACAAACGGGCCGCTAGGAATGAACGTCTAGACGGACACCTTGACAAACGAGGTGGGCTAAAACTGGCTCTGATACCATGATAGAGTTTAGGATGGGGTAGAGATTAGTGGATTGGGCAATAAAACACTTGGGTTGAACCACATTAAAAGATTGAATCCAATCGATTAGTTAGTTCAACTCAAGGGCTTATATACCGGTTTATTTCCTCTTCAAGTTCCGATGTGGGATACTCTTTAACACAAATAAGGGATCAAGTTTGCAATCAAACACAAGGTTAAATGGACTATTTGGAATATATAAGACATTTTCCAATGATAGTAAGGATTAAGGATGACCTTGAGAGTGTGTCAATATTAGTAAGAATTGTCAAAGGTAAATGTTGAAGCTTAGACAAATTTGACATACGAATTAGCAGACATGATCGGAGGCACTTGAAACAAGGATAAATAGGCAGGAGCCAGGAGGTGTTTGAAACACATGCCATAGACATACCTCGTGAAGATTGGATGCCTTAAACTTCTGATATTCTTCATATTCGTCAAGTGAAATCACAACTAGAGATGGCAGAATTCGGGAAACGGGACATTAAGACTAAATTTTGAGACTGAAGCCATAAGTCCTTTTTTTTATTACCTCTTTCTTGAATGTGATGCAAAAATGGAAGTCATTAGTCTTTTTTCTAGACTGAAGGCTTACACTATGGGACTTACTAAAGAATACTGGACAAGCAGCCTTTTCTTTAGTATTTTTTACTACAATGCTGTCAGAGGGAGATTACACGGTCAAACCATCTGTCAAAGGAAGGGTAGAAATAAGTGATGGCAAAGATAATCTGGTGAGGAGCTGCCCGTGTATCGAGATCATGTCATAGCTCCAACAGATTATCTTAGTAGAGATATATGGAGAGTGTTGCAAGTGAGTGATGGTGGGCAGGTGAGGTGATAAAAAAAGAACAATAACGGGTTTGGGAGAAGATGGTGATCCTGTAATACACCGTCTGAGGGCGAGTAGAGTCATGGATAACAGCACATGGACAATGCGTACTTCAATGGACAAAGAAAGTGGCAGCGTGTCACGCTACAGACGGATGTGTGACCAAGTCGGTTGCAATGCTCGAACGTCCTAAACTCCTAAATAGTCCAGTCACCTTACTTTGGTGATCGAAAATGATTGAACATGAAACGTACTAAACAGAAACGGAAAGTACTATCCCAGTAAAGAAAAGTGACGAAAAAGAGATGAACAGGTTCGTGATCAGATTGAACCTAGATAAGAAAAGGCTCAGATGCCACGTGAAGTAGTAAGATTTCTTCAGTTATATACATATACTCTGTATTACATTTATCTAGACCCTAAATGTAGGAAGCCAAATACATGAGTCAACCAAATCAATTCTTTTTGTTTAGGGGACTTGGTTCCTATGAAGAATAAAAAGGAAGCAACGAAAGAAGTCTATAATTTTACTGCAAGTCCTAAAACTAAGGGCATCTTCTCCTCGACTCCAAACTCCAGACTCTACAGTAAGTCTACACTCCACAATCCCCACACCACACCCCACACTCCAGTGACACCCTACACCACACACACCTGCATACAAGTACAACCACAGTGATTTGAAAGCGCATATATTTCTATAATTATTTTTAAAACAAATAAATGCTGCCAAAAGAGAGTTTTTGGGCAGAGCTCGTCCAACCTAAAATTGCCTTTTAAATGAGATGTTTTAAATGTAATATAGTCTCTTAATACAAATTATTCTAGCTCTCTCGTTTGAACATTCACTCAGGACAAGTGGCATGGGTCTAAATAGACTTCAAATAGCCAAACCTTCACAATAGACTTCAAATTTCCCTCTGAATGATAAAAAATACTACATTTCCAATTGCATGCTGCTTCATCTCAGTAAATGCTTGCTTTTGGGAAGAAAGAGGTGCTCACAACCCCGACATTGGGACATTGATTAGCGTCATAGCGTGTACGTACAAACACTTAGATTCACCTTGGTTGTACAACAACATCAACCCAGTAGAATCCCGCAACAGCACAGTGTGTTACCCCTACTAAAAGTACACTAGTAGAGAGGAAGTTTCCAAGAGATCCCCAGCTCAAGCAAAACTGATTGCATTAACAAAAGTTAATTTGAGAATAACAACTAGTATACCTTGATAGAAGCATCTCACTTTTGACATCACTAATCACAGTAGGCTGATAGAATGTCATGCCAAGACTATGTCTCTTGCCCCCGACTAGGACTTTAGCTCCCTTACAGCAGCAAAAAACAAATCATTTGTTTAGTGAAACGATTGTAGACTTCAAATAGTTATATATAAAAAACTGTTGAATACTTGAGTTTATAAGGGAATGGACTAATCGTCCAAGGATTGGTGCAAATTCATTAAGTTTGTATTCGTTATTTCTAACTTGTTTTCAGCCTAATTAAAGTCAGTTTAGTTAACTTAGGTCTTGTTAGATCCAGCTCAGATAAGCACTTTTCAGTTAAAACTTAAACTAATTCTCATTTAAGCAAATTTCAATCGAACAGAAGATTCTGTATAGTAATGATAAGCAAAGAGAATTTGCAGCCATAATGATCAAACACTTAATAATTGACACATAAAGTTTCTCAACATCTCTAATGTGGAGTTGAATCAGTTGAGAAATACCTTAGAAATGGCTTCCAGTACAAATTTTTCAACCTGCCACAATCATAGAAATTGTCATTTAGGGTAAAACCAATCCATTGACATACGCAATAGAAAATGGGATGTTTGTAGAAAACTGACCTTCTGTACTGCTTGTTCATTAATTAGAGGGCCCTGCAAAAATGAGCAATTCACTATGTGCAAGCTACAAATAAATATGGAGAAAAAAACTAAAAGGCCAAAACAAAAGTTCAAAGATAGAGAGCTGAGCATAGAGAAAAACTTTTCAACAATTCAGTTAAACAGAAAAAGTTAGTAACATGCTTACTGAGTAATACTAAACTGTGAAAACAGATAGATAAGCATTTTGTTTTTTGTTTTTTTTTTGGAAGACCCATGTACCTGCACAACACCTTCGCCAAAACCATCTCCAACTTTCATGTTTTGGACAGCATATGAAAAGACTTCAGCAAATTTGTCATAAATCCCTAAAAATGAAAGGAAGAGACAAAATGAGTGATGCAAAATTACCTGTACCAAGTTGTGATGTAGAAATGCATGAATATATGATTATTAAGGGCCAACAAATATATTATTCCACTATTACAAAAAACTACATTGAAACTAAGAACATATGAGGTAAAAGAGCATCAAGATGATCATTTCAGCTTATACCTTCTTGAACAAGTACTCTGTTTGCACAGACACATGTTTGTCCACTGTTACGAAATTTTGTTGCCAACTGCCCATAAGTAAAAAAGGATATAATTTGAAAAATATGAAAGCAAAGAATTTATAAGGACAGAGGTCATAAATGAAGTATTATTATAAAATTAAGACATGCATATTGTTAAGTACTCCTTTGTGCAAGTGACTATACATTTAAGTTTCAATCCAAAGTTTTAATGTCAAATAGCTGCAAGCCTGAAACCATTTTTATTAAAATGTAAGAGGAATGAGTACAATCTAAACCCTTCAATGAGGATCCATTGGAGGGGAAGTCTAGTGCCATCTAATTCCAGCTTTAATGGTGTAAATTTAAGTTGTTGCAGTTTATAAGTTTGTTTCCATCATCTCCGATGGAATCAAAGATTCACTATTTTTTGGCTTTGGGGAATGATGGAAGGCAAGAAACCAAAATGGCTCTTTAAAATGTCTTTCAGTAGTGAAGTAGCAGTTAGTCAAAGCAACTTTCGACAATCACCATGGGTCATATGAAAAAAGCCACTCTATGTGTTTTAAACATACCCCCCCCCCCTTACCTCGCACTGGGCAGGAGCGTTTGAGGCACTGGAATAATGTTGTTTGTAAGAGGAACTTTAATTGGAAATTAAAAATTTGAAACAATGAAATTTTGTGTTACTTAAACTTACAGTTCCTCTCAAGGCTACATCAAGGTCAGCATCATCAAAGATTATGCAAGGTGCATTACCCCCAAGCTCAAGAGATACCTAAATAACCCGCATACAAGTCATATTGGAGGCAAAATGTTTCAGATTACATGCCATAGACACAAGGTATAAAGACACACATGCACCTTTTTACCTTTTTAACTGTGTCAGCAGAACCCGCCATCAATTTCTTTCCAACATCTGTTGAGCCTGTAAATGTTATCTTCCTTACCTATGTTAAATAAATAAGAAGTAACATAGAAATAAAAATTGGGTCCACTATATACCATTCAATATATGGTACATTGCATAAGCCATAAAATGTTTATTTTAACACTGGAAAACCTGTGGGCTTGCAAGCAATGCATCCCCAATATCAGCAGCATTTCCCATTATAACATTTATCACGCCCTAAACAACAAAGGTATCACATGTTAGACCAAAGCAACAGGACAACGGAGCAGAGATAATTTGACCTTCCTAAAAACAAAGGAGAAGATGAATCCATTTCTTGGCCAGGTAATCAGTTAGTCCATCATGACCTTTTAAGCGGCAGATTGTGCTAACATACAAGAGTCTCTTCTCTTCCCATTAACAGTTAAAAATCACTAGATGAGGGTATGATGCCAGAGCATTTTGCATTTCTTTTTTTCCAATGTGTAATCGGTTATTACTTATTACTGAAGTCGAATAGTAAGTTCTTGGTTATAAATGGCAAGCTAAATTCCTGATATTAAGAATTACCGGTGGTATTCCAGCTTGCAAAGACAGCTCAGCTGCTGCTAAGGCAGTCAAAGGTGTAAGCTCAGAGGGTTTTATGACCACTGTACAACCACATGCAAGAGCAGGACCAGCCTGATAAAATACGTAATCAGATTTATGATTTGCGTAAAATAAAGTGCTTCAAGTTGTTGGTAGCTTAGCAACAAGAGAAACGAACACCATATAGGGAAAGGGCTAAGAAGCAAACTTAAAGCCCACCTTTCGAGTGATCATAGCCAATGGGAAATTCCAGGGTGTAACTGCACCAACAACACCTACAGGCTGCAACAACAAAAAAAACCCATCCTTTTAAAAAAAATGACCCTCGCTCTTTTTTTTTTTTTTTGAATGCTATTGACTCTATTACAAGGTAGTATCTGTTCATAGTACTATTCTCAAGCTAATGACTAATGACGCACAAAGAGCCAATGTTGCTGCCTTCGCTGGGGCTCGAACCTGGGTGAACTTCCCCATGAATCCTGGGAAGTTCTGACCCTCGCTCTTTAAAGTTTAAACAAAGATAAATAAAGTTACGCGGCAGTTACAATATATATTACTCCCTCCGTCCTGAAATAAAAGTTACAAACTTACAATTACTATTTTAGCCTCTCGATAACATTTGTTTACTTAAGTGTTTTCATTGATCAATTGATAAAATAAAATTGTCATGTCACCCCTTGTTTTGTAGAACTTCTGACGTAGTTTTTAATACTATGTAAATTTTATTTTTTTATTTTTATTTCATTTTTTTAATAAAATGATTTTAAAAAGCATGGGGTTTTGCCTCGTAACTCCCTCCATAACTTTAATTTTGAGACAGAGGGAGTAAATAGTTGTGGTGGTGCAATATCAATCACAATAAATGCTTTTGTTGGGCGGTATCTGCAGGATGTGTCCATTCTGTAGGGACTGGGATGCTGCCCATTAAAACCATATAATGAAAATTCTAATCATTAAATTATACCAGAAGTATAAAAAAAACTTTCATTGTATTTAAATGTGTTCAACTATACAGACATGTCCTATATTTTATCTACACATCAAGGCCTAAGCCCACTGCAAGTCTGCAACTATGCACCAAACATGATACAAATATACCCAAGAATATGAGAATACGAAAAACTAGGTCACCTGCTTTAAAACAAACAAGCGACGATCTGGTAACGTTGCTGGAATTATATCACCATACACACGTTTAGCCTCTTCTGCGAAAAACTCAATGAAACTAGCTCCATAAGTAACCTGTAGATTGCATGATTATTTGTTACTCTACAAAGCGTGCAGAGATAGATATATACAAGACTACAACTTCAAGTTCAAAAAAGATACCTCACCGATGGCCTCTTTTAAAGGTTTTCCTTGCTCTAGTGTCATAAGTTGACCAAGCTCATCCTTGTGAATCATTAACAGATCAAACCTAGACACATGAAAGAAAGATTTAAGCACACCAAGGATTATTAATCCAGACTAAATTGTGAATATAGAGCAAAATGTGTAATGGTGATACTTGATAGCAAAGACCAAATTGGGTAAGACTGGTCTTACGGTGAGACTGGCCAAAATGTTGTGTAATATTTTAAAAGTTGATAGAAAAACTTTTCAGAAAAATGTAGTAAATTTTAGTTAAATCTGTATATTTTGAGTTTAGACCCGTCTCGTAGGGATGAGCAAAACCAAATTAACGCGCCGCAAAACCATTGACCCCAAACTGAAATAACTGGAAGTTCGGTTTTGGTTTCAGTTTTCATGTGCAAATCATTTTTGGTTTTTCGGCTGGTTTTCGGTTTTTGGTAAGAAAAAATCAAACCGACCGAATAACAGATGATTTATTATATCTTATTTATTTTATTTTATGTGGAAAAAGAAAATATTTTATTAGCACACATGCTCTCTTCCTATTCTCCCACAAAAACCATTATTGTTTCACTTTTAAACAAAATTAATTCTTTAAGTTCTTCGGGAAATTTAAATAGGAAAAGTGCAATTTTTTGTTAACTGGAAAGTCTATATCCAAATAAATATTAATCTACCTTACAAAACTCATGAAAATAGAGCAGTGATGATCGAGATTAATCTAATACAGATCAACCTACCCTCCCGAATCAATCTGTTGAGTTTATTTTAAGAAATCAAAATATAAGTAATTAAATTTCAGTTTTTTCGGTCGGTTTTTTGCTCTACAGGTGGTTTCCAGTTTCGGTCAGTTTTAATTAATGGGTGGTTTGGTTTGGTCGGTTTTCAACAATCTTTTGAAAAATCAGTTTTTTCGGCTTCCAACCAAAGCCTACCGTTTCTCACCCCTACGGCGTCTGGCATGAGACCACCTTGAGATGCAAAAATTACAAGTAATGATTCAAATCAGTATTTTCAGTAAGGACAGTTAGATGGGATCTTAAATATACTCGACTCAGATGGTCTGTGTTCTCATTGTGTTACATTGCTTCAAGGTCAAGTAGTATCATTATTCATTACCATCAATTTCTCATTTTCCATCACTTGCATAGTTGCACTAATCATAACAAATTATGGCCACTCACCTCGCATTGTTGTTTTGAACAACACTGAGCTCACTTGGAGAAAGCAATTTTTATGTTCACTTTTATCCTCAAAAAATGGAAGGAAAAGAACAGATATATTCAGAGCATATATTTGAATTAATGCCCAGAAAAAGAACAGCTTCTGAAATCTGAACAGCCATATTATATTTCATACCATTTTCGTAAGCATTTGCTCCTTTCAGCAGCAGTAAATTTGCTCCATGCTTCAAGAATAAATATTGAATATATTAGTTAAAAGTATCAGCCCAGTAGATATGTAGATGCAAAAGATGGCATCGTGGGAATATTAGACTGAATTATATAATCATGGAACTATCAAAACAAAGCATGTGTTACAAGAAAAATAGAATTTGGCAAAATATAGATTTAGAGATGTTGTGACTTCCAATACTAGGTCAGGTTACTTATAGTGTCTATAATTATAGTCCCTCCGTCCTGAATTAATCGTCCTGGTGTCCTACTTTCCTTTTTAGTCCGTCCCAAATTAATTGTCGTACTTCCTTACCTAATAAAGTAAAGAATATGTGGTTCAAAATTTTTCTCTCTTCTAAACAAATTTCAACCAGTCACTTTATTTTTCAACATTTTTCTTAAACTCCGTAAGTCAAACTCGACAATTAATTCAGGACGGAAGGAGTATTAAAAAAGGAGAAACAAAGCGGAGCACCACAAAAAATTGATAAAAGCCTTACAACAAAATGCATCGAATGCTGAAGTGATTGCATCATTAGTCTCTTTCCGTCCCATGAAAGGGACTTCAGTAATTGCCTCCCCTGTTGCAGGGTTGTAAACCTGCCACAATTATTAAAACACTCTTGAAGTAATATAGTGATCCACATGTCAAAATTCAGAATTGCTTCACCCTGCTGTTTCTATCTTTCTGCATATTTTTCTTTTCTTTTTCCTGTGTATAACCGTATATAAAATTCATAGATTACGAACCTTTATGGTCTTTCCATCATTGGCATCAACCCATTTCCCTCCAATAAGGGCCTGACTTTTCAGCAACCCTGATCTATTTAGGTGAGCAGCTACACTTGATGCTTCAGTACACACCTAGCCATTAAACAATTTAGGTCTCAAACCCTATTGAGATAAGTTTGATTTCAGAAAAAGGCACTCACAAGTCACACACAAATTCTACCAAATTTTTAGCAAATATTGTAAACATGTTAATGTCTTAATGTCATAGTTGAATAAACAATGCAGGGGCAGATCATATGCATCACAAACAGGGTCTACGTACCCCAGACCCTACTTTTGTGGGATTAAATGGGTTGTTGTTGTATCATAACCAAATATGCACTTAGATGCCTTTGACGTTAAAGTAAAGCATTCATTTGAAAATATGTTTTGCTACGTAATGGTTTTTTTCTTTCATAAATGTGTTTAGTGAACACTTCCGAGTCACAAATCATTACTCGTACACAACAAAACACATTGCAACCACTTTGTTGTTTGTTGACCTAAAATACTCCCTCTGTTCCTAAAAAAGTCAAGTCTTGGTAATCATCATCAATTTTTTTCATTGGCTATCATTTGTTGGAACATGCAACAATCATTTTCTAAGTTGTTAAATGGTAATATGGAGTAATTGCAAAGTGGATTTGCCAAATATTTTGAAACATAAAAAGTTGATTTTTGAATTTTTTTGGGACGGATGGAGTGACATAAGTTGTGTATTCCCCACATCCAACTCCATCACAGATGACCACATTTCCACTTGGGTGACAGGATTGTAACATATCTCATGAGCTGGGGTACCTTTGTGATGCAATAAAGGTGTTGACATACCAAAATGATACAAAGAAATTCATTACATACTCTACCACTTAGATATATTTCCAACAAACAACAACAAAAACAATCAAACAACAACGAAAAACCTAATCTAATCTCAACTTTGTTGGGGTTTGGGGTCAAGATGTGCCCAGCATTGTAAAAGAACATAGAGAGCATGTTTCCATTTATCCTTGACCGATTGATGCATTTACTGGAATCAATTGCCCAAAACTTCATAGAAGGTAACAAGCATGGGTAGTTTAATGTGTCCTTTTAATTTAGTCCATTATTTGTTCACTAGAATAAACAACTCAGTAGAATCCATGAAAGTATGATTTGGGGAGGGTGTGTGTATGCAGATCTTACCTCTACTCAAAAGTAGAGAGGACTAAATAGATAATTTGATTTCATTGACAATAGATGACATTTAAGCATTTTACCAAAAATAGATAATACTCCCTCCGTCCCTAAATGGATTACAATTTTTTTCTCTCTCTCCTCTCGATAACTTTTGTTTGTTTACGCGATTTCATTAAGTATTTGATAAAATAAAATATTCTTGTCACCTCTTGTTTTGTAGAACTTTTGACGTAGTTTTTTAATATGTAATTTTTATATCTTATTGATATACCAATTTGTAAATAAAATGATTTCAAAAAGTAGAAAATTCTACTCCGTAACCCGCAATTTGTAATCAAATTGGGGACGGAGGGAGTACAAGATTATTAGAAGCAAGCGTGAACTTCATTTGACCATGTGTACTTAATCCGTCACAAAAAAATGTTTTGGAGTTTAAGAAAAATGTTGAAAAGTAAAAGTTGTATAGTTAGAATTAGTTTAGATGAGAGTGAAATATTGTGAGTTACGTACGTGCTCAACTGACCATTGTTAAAAAGGGTTATAAAGTAAGTGTAAAGTGTTTTTGAAACATCCAAAAAGAAAAATGTAAAAGTGAAAAAGGACACTCAAAGTAAGAAATCAAAGGGAAAAAGACTAAAGTAGGAGTAAAACATTGAAAATAACCAAAATAGGAGGTCCATGTTTTTAATCCTGAAATAGGATTTAAAATGCATGTACAGTGTCAATCATGACCATATACATTAACAAAAAGTATTGTAAAATGTCCAAATACAGTGTCACATCACCACGGTGCAAACTCTTATTTTGGGATATAAACATGGAGCTCCTATTCAGTTACTTTCTCAATGTTTTACTACTATTTAGGTTGATTTCTTGAAATCAAACTTAAAAATCAAAATTTGAAATCATGCATATATCCGGCAACATACACGGTAATCCTGGATTACAACATCACTTTAATTGATCATTCGTTTCAATTATAATAAAAAAAACAAAGAAGAGTGAGTGAGAAGCGAAACAATCAATCTGAAAGGCAAGAGTACAAATTTTACCAAATGAACACGCGATCAAAAAGCTTTGGTTCAGTATCCAAAGGCAAGGAAAAATGGGAAACTTACCGCTCGGGAACATCCGGGTGGCATGTGAGCTGAGGCTGAGCGGCAAAGAGAAAGATTGCGGCAGCGAACGAGTGTCGACATGCGAGAAATTCCAGCCATCATTTTCGCATCTACGAACTCCAAAATCAAGGCGTCAATGGCAGCGCAGTGGCTAAATACGCTTGGAAGGGAAGGGGTGTATTCCTAAACAGCTTGCTGGCTCCCAAAGTGCAACCATCTTCACATTTTGTCTAACAATGTGCACAATTTCCCAACAACTCAACAAGACGAGACAAGGTACATTTTTTAAAAAATTTTCCGATTTGCTCCATTTTTTTTATTTGCAAATGACTAGAAACCCAAAACAAAATTTTACTCCTAACAAATACGGATTAAATGTTTTGCAAACGATTATTATTATGTCCATAAAATGTTTTGCAGACGATTATTATTATCGTATGTTCGTAAAATAGTGATATATATTCTTTGTGTCAAAGTGGGTGAATTTAGCATGTCTCTTTTTTATTACACATTAGCATTTCGTCTAAATTATATCTAGACTACTAGATATGATTGTATTGTTTTTCCCAAGTTAAAAAATAATACGGCTTGGTCTAAAATATGCTCTCTTTCGATCCATTAATTTTTTTGCTACACATTACTCTTTTTTTGTTGCACATTAACATTTTGCCTAGGAAAATTATTAAATCTCTCAATAATTGTATATCATTTACACACCAAAGGCAAGTACATTTTATGTCATAGACATTATGTCTGTGTTTGTCTTAGTATACACAATTGTTGGAATACCTCTAGCATTTCCCTTTCGTCTAAGTTATACACTAAAGACAGATGTATAGTTCTTCCCGTGCATCAAAATTAAAAATTGATACAAATTGGTCCATAAAGCGCGATCATTGTGTGGGCTGTACATGTATCACAATAAGTCTATTCCATTCTTGATTAAGAAAATTACTCGCAAATGTGAATGTAGCATCTGTTACATGCTTTAATGATTCTTTAACATTGGACATGATGGTGTAAGTGAAATAATCGAGATACTATTAAAAGAATCGTCTATGTAAAAAGGAACAATAAGAAAAACACACAACATTAGTTTTATCACTCTAGATCACATACTAAAGTACTACTCATCCGTCCCAAATTGAATTGCTTATTTATTATTCACAGGGTCAAACTTTATTCACTTTTCTCCTATTTTCATTACTCATTGGATAAAATAATATAATCATATCACCCATTGTTTCGTAAAGTTTTTTTTATATCATTTTTAAATATGTACTCCGTAAAATTTATTTTTAATTTCCCTCTAATTATCTACTTCGTAATAAATTTCATTGAAAATAACTTCCATCAAACATTGTAAGCCAAAACGAGCAATTTAAATTGAGACAAAGCGAGTACATGATTTTGAAAAAACTTACCTCATCTCAACAAATCAATCAAGTGGGTTCAGGTCAATTTTTATTGCGTCTACAAGTAATAATGAATAGTTGTGCAACTCAACTCAACACAATTTTCAAGACAGAATGCCAGAATTTTAATAAATAAAACAGAAGCAAACTCGTGAGAGTACAACTACTTCTACTACTACTACAATGGCAAGTTGGCAACTGCCAAAAGTGACTTCCTACATTATGTTATAATTCCTCACTTCAATGAATGACAATAGTTAAACCAACTTATACAGGCAGACTAAACTGAATCAGAAATTGTACAACGCATTTTCCCGGTCTTTTCGCAGCTACAATAAAATTACCTAAAGAATGTCCAGAGGAATAACAAACAAAACTGCAACAAAGTTAAAGGTCATTCATTCATAGGTCTTCCCAGACCAGAATAAATGGCTTTCCGGAACAGAGGGTGAGCATCTTTGGTCAGTACTACAGCATCCAGCTTCTCCACAAGTGGCCATATCTGTAGAGCACACAGCATTAAGCATCAGATGAAAGCAGCATTACATATAAGAACATCGATGGCCTTAAGCTTTCTGTCCCTATTTTGTCCTCATTCATTCTTTTTTGTTTGTTCGAAAACAATCTACATGTTGCTTTTAAGGGAAGTATCTGTTGGTTAATAGCGTTTCTCTCGTAGGGGGTAAATCTCAACACATAGTTTCTGCTTTACTAAAAAGCGTGTGAAGTCAAAGTTTAAGTCAATAAGGAACAGAGGGAGTACTATGGTATGAGAAACTAACTGTAAATACTCTGTAAAAACTAATTGGATTATTGATTAGAGAAGCAAGATTGTTTGTACAATCCACTAATCCATATTCATCTCCAAAATGATTCATAAATGAGAAACCACTATACCTCAGTAGAGTATTGCCTAGTAAATGCCTTGAGATAACCCAGAGTTGACAAACACCATTGCTCTTTTTCACCAAGATTGTAGGCAATCCTGTATCAGAATTTGAAACGACGATTTAACTCAACCCGCCCAATCATATGGAAAAATGAACAACCATATTAAAAATAAATGGGGTTAATAGACACTTTATAGAGATAAAATTAAATGAATGGCACGGAGTTTTAAAACCGATGTGTATTGTATTTTTCATTATTAGGTTTATTAATTTTATTTGGGCTAATAATTTGATACCCTAGTTAATAATTCAATAACCAGATTTAATAAAGCGAACGGGGAATTCATAAATTTGTGAGGTGGTTTATAATTCTGTGCATTTGAGTTACTAATCTTTATGTCAGTTTAAAAATCTTTATTGTCTACTAAGTGCTACTTTCTGAATTTCTGAATATTACTAACACTCTGCCAATTCTAAACTCCAGTATCTATATGCCTATAACGATGTAGATGACAATGATGATGATAATTATCATATAAAAGGATAATTATTCAAGCACCTCTTCTTTTGTCTTTCATTATCCTCATCCACCTCCATTGCAGAAGAATCTTCAAGATCTATATTCATCCCTTGAGCCTGACCAGAAGATCGCAAGGTTCCATCTACAAATACATCATGAAGTGGTACTGCCAAGACAGATGAGAAGTTTCTGTACAAGCAAAGGAACAATGCCTGTACATAGGATATACATTCAACAGATCAGACAAAGAGAATCAATTAATCCAGAAGAAACCTTACGATATTGCATCCAAATTGAAAATTACATTAATATATAGAAACCTGCCTATCTCAACCTTGCCATCCCCGTTGGTGTGGGGAATTGGGATCATGTTAGATGTTGTTATTGATATTGTTATTGAAAAGCATAATGGGTACAAACGTACCACAATTTCATGGGAGCAAATTTTCATTTTTCAAGTGTTAGATTCAAGATTGTTTCATCAAAATGATTCTCATCAGTTTAGAGTTAATTTGATATCTGTACTAAAAAAAAGTGTTTACAGTATATACTACTACTCATTATATGGCACGACTTTGTTTTGACTTTTGACACAAACAAAAAAATGACTAAAAGCATTTAAAATTATACTCCGTACATACTTCACCTATATGTCCTTGAGCATTATGGAGGATATGTTTTAGTATTTTCAAGAAGGAAAATTGTGAAAGAAAAAAAATAAATGTGCATTAATAAATAGAAAAAAGACCTGTATTTATGGCCATTGTAATAGGTAGTAGAACCAGAAGGTGTGTGTGTGCATAAACAATGTACTCCTGGCCCACTACTTTTGGAACATAAGAGAGTAGCACACAATTGTTTTTTTTAAAAAAAAAATTGGTATTTCGGGAATGACTTTGAATTGGTGAAGAATGAATTGATTTGAGCACCAGTAATCATACCAAATAAGGTATGGGAAAAATTTTGGGACAGCCGGACAGGTCAAAATGGAAAACGAGACAAAACAGTGGGACAAATGAAGTAATCAAGATATACCTCATTTTCATCAACTGCCCTGGCTAGAAGAGCTTCTTTTGCTTCTAGAGACTCGCGAGCAGATACCTCCTCCTCTCTTGCTTTTTCAGCATTTGCTTTAAGACGTCTCATTTTAGCTGGGTTTTCACCAACAACAGGTACACCATCCAAGAGAGTGAGCTTAGACTCAGATGCATCCAACTCTAATTGGGATATTGAAGCAGCATCTTCAGCCAGCATGAGAGTTTTCTTGAGTGTGGAAATTTCATTCCTTAAATCGCAAATTCGGTTGTATGTCTTACTAACTGTATTTCTTAGAATCTGTGGACAATATCATAAGTTAATGAACAAGTATACAAAATAGGCCATTGAGGTTAACAACTTCAACAAGTAATACTCTCTAAAAGAATAAAAACGCCTAGTTTTTCAGGGTGATGAGAATACACATATATTATCATACTAACAGATGTACATTAATCATGTTCCTCCAAAGAAAATGAACCAGAGAATCAGTGTCGAAAGCAATGATCTACCTCCCAGGGGCGGTCAGAAGTATGAAACTGATCCACATTCTCCATGGAGAAAACCCATCTCACAATGGCCAAGTTAGAGATAAGCCGGTAACCCATCAATCGATCAATGGCAATTGCTGTCATCTGACCATTACTCTTCCAGAAAGAACACAGTTCAGCTATCAACATAAATTGTTTGTCTTCGTCAGTGCAGATTTTAGCAATAACTTGGCCATATCTCTCCAAGACAGTGATCAGATGAGTAAAGCTTTTTGAACCAATGTCGAGAAGGGTTTGAATAACTACTGTGCAAGTAGTCTCCAAACTGTGGACTGGAAATACATCCTCATCCATCCAAGATATAATTTCACGGGCAGTTTTCCTTCCTTTAACCATACCACGGAGCTCTACAGAGAGTGCATGTCCTTCGTGATTAGTACCATCATCGACACTGTATTTAAAATTTGGCCCTCCTTTGGGTGGAAGCAATTCCTCTAGAGCAGGTGCATTCTCTATACTCTGTATGAATGGATAAACAAATGAAACTATAAACCCAATTTCTTATATTCATATACTTAAGTGCACATCTACAATTAATATTGTTTCTAAACCTGTTTAATTTTGTCCCAATACGATAGACGGACTTCCCTTTCCAAAACCTCTTGAACAAAAACACGTTGTGGAGCCCATTTTGGGAGATCTAACACATAAGCCCATTCCTCCCATGGCCATATAAACTGGAAGTTTGATCTGGAAGGAATGCAGTAACCAGTAAGGGATGAAAAGAGAGGCAACACATAAAAATACATCACTACATACGTACCAAAATTAAAGCCACTTCATGGTTTAGGGCAATTGACAGAAAATATTTTAAAATTGGTGTAGAAATTATAAATAAATTCATATATTTAAAAACTACATAACAGTACGTAACGGTAGGTATTACCATGGTTGACAGAGTTGTTTACAAATTACAATTCACTTTATGCAAATAATGGTACAAATTTTAAAATAAAATTTATATGATTAAGCACTACATCAAATGATCTATAAAACAAGAGGTGACACAACTCCGTCCTATAACTAAATTCTCAAAACGTATACGATGGTTGACTGAATTCATTTTCAATTCAATTTACTCAAGTTATGCACTTATGCTACAAAACTTAAAAATAAAAAATATATAACTAAAAGCTAAAAATGCTCTATGAAACAAGACATGACTATTATTTTAATAAATGAATAATGAAAAAAGTAAAAAAATGAAAAATTGAACAGTGAATAGTGTTTGTGAATTCAGTTTTGGGACAGGGAGAGTTGTTTGGACAGATTATCAATGAAATTATGTAAAGAATGAAAATATAATTTGTTCATGTGAATAGTAACTGTGATTTTAATTTTAGGGGAGGAGGGATTAATTAATATTTACTAATCATGTGTCTTGATGACTCGGGGGACACCTGATTGTCATCGGAAGAAATATAAGGTTGGATTGGTACAAAGAATATTGCACTTGGGAAATTAGAAATTCGGCATTTAAATTGTGTTAAGCACTTAAAATGCAAACTTACAAATGATGTGAGAACCATAAGAGGAGACGTGTTCTGCAATCCATATCTAAATCTGCTATTTTGTCGAAAAGAGAACGTACAGCTCCTGCAACCACAGCAGGAAACGCCCCTGGAAGAGCCTAAAAATAAAAATCCATATGGTTAGAAGAACATGTCTTAAGTGAAAATTGTCTGCAAATTATTACCGGAATAATACATCTTAAGGGAAAACTTCAACAAGTCAGTTATAATATTATGGTATTACCTTGCATAAATCAATGATGACCAATGTGTAGTAAATTGGTTTGAATGGAGGATTAGGTAACAGAAGCAGCTGCATGACCAAAGAGTAAAATACAAGGTAATACGAGATTAAAAAATGGCATATGTCCAGACATGAAACAATGTCAACTGTGTACAAATCTCTAGTTAGAGTTTACCTAAAGAAGTCTACAGTCTACACCCTCCCCCCCACCCACCAACGGCACTTGTTGTATGACATCTCTTTCATTCTAATCTCTGATTTCAGTAGATTATTTGTTCTATTGGACCAATGGGAGTAAAATATTGACATCCTCTAAAAACAATACTATAACCATCTAAAACAAATCAGAAAATGTTATTACCTGAGAAAAAATAGTCTCTGCCATAAGGTATTCATATCGGAAAGGAACGGGTAGTCCAACCATGTACGAAGTACACTCCTTTCGACTAGCTTTGCAACAAGCAAAACAACAAAATAAGAACCAATGCATATACAGTTGAAAATAAGGGTGGGCATGGACCAGGTCAGGCCAACTTTCTTTTGACCCAGTCTCTGCTTTGTTGGGGTATCTATGAATACTGAATAGCAAACCACAACCAAACAAGAACACACACAAACCAGAAATCAAAACGGAGAANAAACGGAACACAAGATTTATAGTGGTTCGGTCGGCTGACCTAATCCACTTTGCAACTAGGGTTTTTATTATTCAAGTGCTCACAGAATTACAAGTACAGAGATCCTTATTTATGAAGACTAAACTAGGGTTGAAAACTTAATCCCCAAGTTAGGCCCAAGCCCACATAGAGAATTAGGGCCGGCTAAATTAAAAACCTAATTTACTGCCATATGGGTCGAACCAAGACTAGGGCCGGCTGCCCTTCTTTGTCGAGCCTCCACACTCAATTCGCCCAACATGCTTGTGTAGAAAAATGAATGGCCAGTCCAAGTGATCTTAAAAACTTTGGGAACAAGTGAAAAACTCATATAAAAATAGAATACTACGGATTGTGAAACCATTCCATAAATCACATAAATGAAATATGTAGTAAATGTTTTGAAAAACAAACTATAATATCCAACAAATCAAATAAATCACCAATTAAATATGCAAAACAAACAAGAGTGATGGTTGACTATAATCTATTTATTATATACATAATTTTATTAATACAATATTCAATATACTATATATAGTCTATTTGTTTATACAATTGATGGAAATTAATCCTTGTATCGAATAAAAAACTAACAATACAATATTAAATATAGTATCGTCTATTTATTATTTCTATAATTTTATTAAACTCAAAGAAGCAGGCCGAATTGAGTCCATTTGTTTCTAAATTTTTGAAATTGACCCTACTTGTTTTGCATTATGACTTGCCCTGTCCCGCACCATTTTCAAAGTTGAAATTTTGGACCCATCCCTAACTCGCCCCAAACCATGCAGTTGAGTTCTGACCCACAGTTCCAAGACTTGTTTGCCCACCCCTAGTTGAAATTGTAGTCTCATCACTCATGAGCAGAGTAATGTGATGTTGTACGGGAGGAGTAAAAAATGTGAAGGTAACAATGTGCTAATGATCATATCAGAACTGCAAGTGTTACAAAAAAACATCCCAAACAGAAATGTAATTTCAGGAGCAATGCAATGTGCAGAAGAAATTTGATAGGCTAAGCCCACTCCACAATGTAACATAGGGAAAAAGCAAGTGATAGCAAGTCTTAGTAATGACAAGTTAACAGAGTGAACAAACCAGCCATTCAGGAATAAGAGCACATCCAACAAATATTCTTCAACAACAAAACGATCTATTGGCTGAATATCCTGACAGTCAAAATCAGAAATGGACAAAATAAGCAAGTGAGAGCTAATTGTGTAACCATTAATACATCCTAATTTGGCAATTAGCAGCTAAATATCACAAATAATTATGTCGGAGAGCAGTCAATATGAGATTTGAAATGAGTCAAATGAGACAATAAATAAACTGCATAAGTCAAACCACTTTAATTATGTGATCTTAGAACAACTTAGAAATGTGAGCTAATCATAGTGCATTCATTTATACAAACAACAAATAAGAAAACAGTAACAGAAACCATCAAAGCATGCATTATATCAACAGCATTGTCAGCAGAAATAGTTAGCTACCTCAAACTTGCTTGCAGGAAATATATTGAGTCTCCGAATCCTCTGTGGATACATCAAATTAGCTTCATGCCTTTGTCTACCGGGAGAAGTCGCATAGAGTGTCCCAGGTTGTTCAGGACAGCTTATAGGACCAAAATCATGGGACTTCCCAGCAACAAGCTGTGCCTCAAAAGAATGATGTGGTCTGGGAACTGAAAACGGGAGATATAATCAGAGAGATGTTCAAAATGAACAAGAATCCAGCATAAGTTGTTAGATGTATAAACCAAAAAGCAGCACAATGATGCTCTTGAATCTAGCAAGATTTGCAGGTTGAGAACTGTATACACAAGAACAGGAAGCCGAAACAAAATTAATTGTAACAAAAATATGGGGCATAAAATGAATTATGGCATTTGCAAACCCAACATATAAAGCTTTGGCTTGCAAAACCTGAGGATTACATGTAAAATAGACCTCTTTGTGTGTGTTGTCCAGGTCACAAAAACTGTGGTTTTGTCAATATAAAAAGAACAAAAAATTTAAGTATGACAAAAGCGAATTTGATATGCAATCTTAAAAAACATATAACTTAATTGCTGCACTTATGAGCACATAATTCATCTTTATTAGGTATAAGAAAACAATCATCCCTGATTATGCCTAGAGACTAATGCTCTCTTCCAAATCTTACTGAACTTAATAATCTAAAACAAGACATTATATCGAAAATTTCATGCTGAACAAGTTCCCACAGTCACAACAAGTCAACAGCAAAGTTTAACACAAGAAAGCCTCAGCCACTTATGGAAGACATTTAACCAGATGTGTTTAGCACAAGATCTGCATTACAAGAACAAGATATGCCTACTAGTTTAAAATTGCATTGGAATAATTGGTCTTAAGGGTATATTGCAGAAATACCGCTATCAACTTTCCATTCTTTATTGGAAAGGTCTTGAACTCTATCCCACAGGTCCTCTAAGAAATCCTGAAGATAACAAATATCAATAGTTAGCAAATGCTTGTGATTGTAAAAAATGCATTCCATAATCCATAATTTGGTTTGGGGAAACCAAAATGCATAGCATTTAAAGATAACTAATACTTATATACAATAATCTATATCAGTGTTTCCTAATAAGCTCTTAGTAGTGTGGTTTGTGAGAATAAAAACCAGTGAATGTTTATCAGTTTATGCATTAATCTTTTTATTGAATATACAAGGTGTCACATATGACAACTAGAGACCACCAAAGTTCAACTTCATAGAGCATAGTAAACTAGCTTCTTATCAAATGTTTTTTCATCTTCTACTCTGTAAAAAGCAATTTATCAAGCCAAAACAAATGAACCAAATATTGGATTCTTAACAGACAAAATACGGCTTGAGGAGGAAAAGATAGGAAGTTATTGGCTAACGGGTTTCAAAAAAAATACCAACCTTTTCATTTTGACCACTGCCAACATCATCAATGACCTCAAAGACGGAAAAACCTGAGTTTGAAACACGTCTGCGAATACTTAAGTAAGCTTCAATGCCAACCATTACTCTTTCAATCTCATCAGGAACTTGCTACAGAGTAAACAAAATAGTTCCCACTTTTATATTTTATCCAAGAGGTGCAAAGGATGCACATTATATAGTTTTATTTATATGCAGATACCACATGGATACCTCTACAAGCTCAGCTCCACCCCATGGAAGACATGATAAAACACACATTATGTAAAAGTCAGCACATGCTTGCCAAGACGGATTTCCTTTCTCCTCATCCACTGTAGTTGCTGCTGATGACAATAATGTTTCAAAAACAACCACTAAAGAACTAGATTGAATTACTTTGCTGCACATCTGCAACACAAGAAGAATACAGCAAATTAAAAGTAAGCATGGAGCTTACAAACAAAATTAAAGCCCTGTATCCTTAAATTTCAAACAGATCGGTTTTTCATGCCAGGTCAAGTTCCAGATTGTTTTCGGAATTGCTATCAACATAGTAGACTCACATGATCCTATTATCCAAGCACCCATCACCTATCTAAATCAAAGGAAAAATTGCTGATTGAAAATTTGAGTCATGTTCACAGTGTCAATCTTGTCATTGTGGAATTATCGATCCCTATTCCCTAACAACAGAGCATGGGTTTTTGTACAGTTCCATTAACTTGGGTTTGCAATCCTAAAATCTACGTTATCTTCTAAGTAGGAAAAAGTTGGAAGGGCGAGGAAGCGAGACATCAATGAACCTTCATGTTGGCTAACCAATCCTAACCAATTAGGTGTATGCCTTTCATCATCATTGAACATACCAAAATTTGAGTGCAGTTAATACGTTAACCAAGTAACCAGGAAAAAATAACAATATATAAGAAACACATTGAAAATCAGATCAACAAGTTCCAATTATTATAAAAACATTGTTAAAACAAAACACATATTTGTATCAATTGAAACATTAGTTAATAAATAGTAAATTAACATATAAATTAATTCTCATACATTTGAGTCAAAATAAACATAAAACTTACACAACTCTTACAAGTATATTAATATTCCCATTGTTAATCATTAATCAACAATAATAAATATAATAAACTAATGAGTGGTGAAAGTAAAAGCTAAAAGAGCAAAGTTGTTTAGTTGTGTAAATTATAATTCAGAATTCAGAATTTTATATGGATATGTTATATCGGTTTTTTCAATTGATCAATTGAAAACTGGGGGAAAATTGGTATGGTTAACCAAAAAAATGATCAGTTAATCTATTCAGTTCAATAGTTATGATTTTTAATGCTCTACCCTAGTGATAAGACACTTGGGTCGAACCACAATAACAGGTCGTATCCAACGAGTTATCTAGTTCAACTTAAGTCATTATTAACTCAGCTTTTCTTTCTCTAATTATCCAATGTGAAATACTTTTAAGACTCCTCAAGTGAACAACCGTGTCATTTTGATCTAACTCGTTGACCACTTGCAATTAGACTCCGTCTCCTTTTTGAAACGAAAGGTTAAAAATGCAGCACCAACATGTTAAGGACAACAAACTAGATTATACTTTTTGACAGACAATTGGGTTGAATAGACCACAGGCCACTAGGAATGAACTTCTAGGTGGGCACTTTGTAAAATGAAGTGGGCTTTGACAAGCTTTGATATCATGATAGGATTTAAAATTAGGTAGGGGTTACTCAACTAGGCCATAAGACACTTGTGTAAAACCACATTTAAAAAATTGAATCCAATCGATTCTCTTATTCAAAACAACATTTTGATTAACCGAATACAGTTAACCGATATTTTTATTAGTATATTTTCATCAACATTGAACATACCAAAATTTGAGTGCAGTTAATAGGTTAACCAAGTAACCAGGAAAAAATAACAATATATAAGAAACACATTGAAAATCAGATCAACAAGTTCCAATTATTATAAAAACATTGTTAAAACAAAACACATATTTGTAGCAATCGAAACATTAGTTAATAAATAGTAAATTAACATATAAATTAATTCTCATACATTTGAGTCAAATAAACATAAAACTTACGCAACTCTTACAAGTATATTAATATTCCCATTGTTAATCATTAATCAACAATAATAAATATAATAAACTAATGAGTAGTGAAAGTAAAAGCTAAAAGAGCAAAGTTGTTTAGTTGTGAAAATTATAATTCAGAATTCATGATTTTATATGGATATGTAATATCGGTTTTTTCAATTTATCAATTGAAAACTGGGGGGAAATTGGTATGGTTAACCAAAAATGATCACTTAATCTATTCAGTTCAATAGTTATGATTTTTAAAGCCCTACCCTAGTGATAATACACTTGGGTCGAACCACAACAACAGGTCGTATCCAACCAGTTATGTAGTTCGACTTAAGTCATTATTAACTTAGTTTTTCTTTCTCTAATTATCCAATGTGAAATACTTTTAAGACTCCTCAAGTGAACAACCGTGTCATTTCGATCTAACTCATTGACCACTTGCAATTGGACTCCCACTCCTTCTGAAACGAAAGGTTAAAAATGCAGCACCAACATGTTAAGGACAATAAACTAGATTATACTTTGAGACAAACAATTGGGTTGAATAGACCACATGTCACTAGGAATGAACTTCTAGGTGGGCACTTTGTAAAATGAGGTGGGTTTTGACAAGCTTTGATATCATGATAGGATTTAAAATTAGGTAGGGGTTACTCAACTAGGCCATAAAGACACTTGTGTCAAACCACATTTAAAAAATTGAATCCAATCGATTCTCTTATTCAAAAACTCCTTCTACTTTCATTTAATTCTCTCTAGTTTTCTCCAACTCTTTCCAGTTCTACAAAAATTGAAAAATTGAATTGTGTAACTGAAATTTATTTGTAGGGGAAAACGGTGTGTCAAGTTGAGTTTCAAACAAACATAAAAGTAAAATGTAAATTTAATTTGGAGAAAATAGGGTACGTTATTTTTTCATCTTATTAAAAGAGTCACTATATAAATATATATAACCTTTTAAGTTTAATAAGGTTCAACCAATAGAAAAAGTTAAATAGATTTCCTCTGTATAACTTAGTTATTTTTTACTCCCTACGCTAAAGGTAGATGATTTAGATGATTTCTGGCTAGGAGAAGGGAGTAGTTTGACTAAGTTTAACATTTTTATCTAGTTTGACATACTTTTTTATTAAAAACTGTTAAATATTACAAATTAACAGCTTTTCTTGAAATGAGAGTCTTTCAAAGAACAAAAATATCTGTTTTTATTCAATGAGGGAAGCATTAAATTACTCCTTCCATTCTTTTTATTTATCCCTTTTTATGCATGACTACACTCCATGAATTTCCTACGTCTGGTGAATACCTTTGAAACAGTTTTACCCCGAGGGAACATGAATGATACTGCATTACTTTGAAGAGCATCCATGGTTCGAATAGATGAAGAAAAACAGAAGACTGAGGAAACATACCAACACGGTCAGAAACCTCAACAATATTCGGATCAAATTGCAATTTCCAGAATCCAAAGCATCCTGAAATCAGAAAAGGATGTATTTAAAAAAAATGGTATCGGATGTATATGCTAAGACAAAAAGGTCACAGAAGATGATCGATGACACAGAACTACAGAAATAACATTTTCATGCACAAGTGAGAAGTGAAAACCTCATTTCATAAGAAAGAGAAAAATAGGGAAGACAAGTTAACAGTGTATGATCTTTGAATAATGAAATGCATGAAAACAGGACACATGCAACAAACTTAAATTTCATTAAAACACGCTATTTCCCACCTGCAAGCTGCTTTGAGTAGTCTCTACCAATTTTTTGACAAATGCCTCATTCTCCAAATTCAGCAAACCAACCTGAAGGTATAAAAAAGGTTAACACAAAGTATAGAAGGAAGCAATTAAAATTATTCTCTGGTAGACCAAATTCCTGAAGTAAATGAAGTATCCAATTCTAAATAACTATACGCATCAAAATCCCAATGGAAGAAATTAAAAAATCCCATTACAATAGAGATCTTACCAGAGTACCATAGAGTGGGATCTTGTGAGGCAATTGCTCGGTGCACTGGAGAAGAAACTGCCATATTGTAGGGAGCATAGAGCGAATAAATGAGAATCAAAATTCATCAAATAATTGTCAGACACAAATTCAGAAACAACAGGGTCTACAACAAACAGAAGCGTGATACAAAATTGGTCTTTTGTGCATTACATGTGGAAAAAAAATGTTTTCTTTGGTGTCCTCCATAATTTGGGAACATTTCCTCCAAAGGATTTATTAAAGAATAGTTCACAAATATAGATGAACATAAAGAGAATAATTTTGAACAGAAGACTATACTGGAAAACCCAATTATAAAGGACCATTTAGAGAATAAAGTAATCACAGTACATGCACCCTGTTTCACACAATTAAGGCTCGAATAGAATAGGCAGAGCTAACCATCTTACCAGCAGAATATCTTTTTCAGAATGCTCTAATTCCCGGCGAACCGAACCATAACAAGTCTCCTGCAACATCAGACACAGCTTCAATGCTGATATATAACATACGGAAGTTCTCATAGAATAGCTTCGCAGGAAAACATAAAAGGTAGGGTTTTTATGAAAAGGAGAACGAAATAGAACAGAGCTCACGAAACTAACAATTTGATCTTTAGAGTCGAGGTTCCCGGCATACTCGGTACACTTTTCGCCGATCCGCAAGAGCAAACTCCGCCAGCTGCTCATTTCTAGGAACACCATGAACAACAAAAAAGAAAGAGTGGAGCGGGCGGAGACGGAGTGCCAAGACGGGGGATATATTTGGGAGGCGAGGCGGTTTACCAGTAGGTCTTTGGAAGGAAGGCAAAAGTTTACTGGGACAATTTTTTACCAGTATTTAAGTGGAAGGAATATACGATTCACAAATTTTGTCGGGTATAAAAAATTGCTAGTGATATTATTTATAAAAATATATTTTGGGATACCTTAAAATATGTAAAAATTAAGTTTGAAAGAACTTTCCATGTATTCCTTGGTGTGTAATGAAAAAGGTAACATGTAAAGCTGTAATTAATAATTATTATTAATTAATAAGATAATCTCATACCTTAAAATTTTTAATACCGTGTAATAAAAAAGGTTACATATGAAACTTTAATTATTAATTATATATAGATTATTAATAAGGTAATATCATAACTTTAAATTTTTGGTACGGTGCAAAAAAAGGTAACATGTGAAACTGTAATTATTATTTATTGATAAGGTAATTTCATACCTTAAAATTTTTAATACTGTGTAATAAAAAAGGTAACATGTGAAACTTTAATTATTATTAATTATTAATAAGGTAATTTCATATCTTTAGATTTTTGGTACGATGTAATAAAAAATGTAACATGTGAAGCTTTAATTATTAATTATTACTTATTAAGTGCTAAAATTTGAAATGATAAGTGCAAAATGTAGGTACCGTGTATAGGATAATCTCATAATTATTTACTTCCTCACTCGGTATAATATTTACATAATTATTTATCTCAGTAAATATGGTAATATTATGGTATCGTATAATAAAAATGATTATAATAAGAAATGTAACAATAAAAATATTAAAAAGATAATTTTGTTTTGTGCTATTATTATGTATGAAATATATTACCGTGTATAAAATAAATGAAAGTGTTACATTGGTTTTAAAAAATGTATTCTCATGTGAAAGAATAATAATAATATGGCAATAATATATGGTACCGCCTATTGACGTTGCATGTGAAAGAATAAAAAAGGTAACATGTGAAAGAATAATAATAATAATATAGTAATATTTTGGTATCGTATAATAATAATGATTACAATAAAAAACGTAATAATAATAATAAAGGTGAGTTCGTTTTGTGCTATTACCGTGTATAAAATAAATTACTGTGTATAAAATAAATGAAAGTGTTCCCTTGGTTTACAAAAATGTACTCCTGTACCTTAAATCTTTTGGTTCCAAAATTATCCTTCTATATCTTTTGGTTCGTTTTAACCCGTTATTGTTGAATTCGTCACATATATATCTTAGAGTTCTTCTAGGTATCCTTAATAATCATCATCAATAAACTAAATTAATCATATGAGTTTATCTCAGAAATCTTCTAGATACCCTTAACAAAACATATACATCATTTTCAAAATCATCAATACATTCATTTTCAAAAAAATGGTTCAATCATTCATAATCATCATTTTAATCAGAATAGTCATCAAAGTTTGATCATAATCAATATTCAATAATAGTCATCATAATATTCATTAACAAATAGCGACCTAGCGTCGAGTTTTAACACCCTAGCTTACCGCCATACATCAAACAAGGTTCTTGAATTCGTCAAACCGTCATATTTATTTCTAGAAATTATTTTTATATTGATCATAATTGATCGGTATCAAAAATAATATTTAATAGTTCAAAAATTGGATTTTTAAAAAAACTTCGGGTTTTGGACAGTACCCGTTACGGTACCTCGGTACCGTGTCATGGTACCTTGGTACCGTCCGTACCTATGTACCTCCAGAAGAACAGCTCCCAACGGTAGAGCCTCCACGGTTCTGGCAGTAGCAAATTTCCGCGCGAACGGTACCTAGCTACCGTGCCAGTGGTATCCCCTTACCGTGCACTGTTTATCGTTTTCTTCCTCGGGTCCATTTTCGAAAATATAATTTTTGGTCACCAAACTTCAATTAAACTGTATAGAACTGTTCGTCGAGATGCATAGATCATTTTGGTATCATTAGTTCATAGTTTCAACAACAATTTCAAGATTTATGATTCTTGGTTCTTCAAGCATGCCAAACACAAAATTTAACCAAAAGAACGTTTATGAATGTAGAAACGATCTATGCGAACATTCAATCACAAGATATATCTAAGGGCTTACCTCGAGCTTAAATGGAGGTTTTGAGAATTTTCAGACGAAACATCCGGCGACGATTACTCCCAACTTCGGCATCTTCTCACTAAATTGACAGCACCACTGCGTTCTCCATACTCAAGGCTAATTCTCATAAAAAAATTGAAGGAAAATGGTGAAGAAATGGGAGAGAATGATCTTCTTTATATAGTGAAGGAGAGGAGGAAGAAGCCAATGGACTTCTACGTGATTTTGATCGGCGATCGGCTGAGCGGCTAGTGCGATTCTGATGAATTTCCTACGACTCTCCCTGAATGGGACTATTTTTTATCTGAATTGGGGTACTATTTTCAGTACAACTTTCTCCGAATTAAAATTTGATTGAACCGTTTCGATTAGACAGTCAAACTCTACACAAGAATATAATTTTTATTATTTATTGACAAGTTTTATAAATCATTTATTTTTTGGTCCTTTTTAGTAATTAATTAATTATCAATTAATTAATTCTAATAGTCTTGTTTTTGGGGCATTACAAGGTGAGCTAGATAATCCCTAATGAAAGTTTACCATATAATACAATTGCTTAAGTTAAGCAACTCCTAAAGCCCACCATTAAAGACAAACTATATCGTTCTCTCTCATTGTTCCACTATTCTTATACCAATTCCACTTTTAAACTAAAGTATCATTCAAAATTTAGGCGAATAGTTTTAGTGTCTCCGATCCGTGGTTTGAAAATTGACACCAACAGCTCTCTCTCACTTTCTTTATTATTTATCTCTTTTTTCATAAATACTTTTAAGTTATTTTTTAAACTATTTTTTTTAATATTATAAAATACTTTCATATAAATTAAAATACTTTCTATTAAAAATTAAAATAAAATAAAAAAGAATAGAAAAAGAAATGAAACAAATATGAAAAAATAATGCTAAGCTTCAAATGAGTAACTAATTAGAATTTTTGTAACTAACATTATTTACAAATGAGTATTATAATTAGAATAAAGAATGTACAAACATGATTTATTGGTAATTTACAAATAAAGAATTCTCAGATTTATAAATTTATCTTTTGTGAATTTTAATTTTAAATATTTTTAATTATTTAAGTATAATTTTTTTTTGAATGAGATGATAATGTGAAATGTTTTTGTGAACTCTCACATTTATTTTTGACATGGTACACCTGGAATTCATGTTGTACACAAACCTTTTGGATGTTGGGTGTCGCTTGTAGGCTGTTAACTATTTGTGTTAGTTATACTGAACAACTATTTTTAGTTTAGTTGAATTGAATGACTAGATGTGATGACTGATTGTTTAACCTGTTTGGTAAAATTAGCTGTTTGAAAAAAAAATTGTTTCGAGATTTAAAAATAATATATATTCGTAGATGCATACACACACAATATTTGTTTTTTTATTTTTGTACATGTAAAAGTTTAATCTTTAATATATGGAGGTTTAAATTTCATTTTTATATAATTCATAAGAGATCAGTAATATTCAACTTTTTAATGATTTTTACTTTTGATTTTCTCATTTCATCTATTATGTTTGTTAAATGTTTAATTTTTAACTTTTATTCTTTTACATATTTTATTGATTTTCAAGAAAAATGATAAAGAACTGATTTTTCTAAGAACCAAATTCAAGAGCTACGCCATTTACTTTTCGGATCAAAAGACAAGTGAAAAAGTGATCAGCAATTGTTCCATTAATAAAAAACAAAGTGTGTCAAAAGCCACTTAAATGTTTTTCCACACGCCACAGGCTCTCCCCGGTTCCCACTTGGTTTCTTGTTCCGAACTTGTCCACCCCTAATCACACTCTTGAATGAATTGATGAATTGGTGGATATGAGCTGAATTTCAACTAAAAATTAGATACAATTTGGTGGTTAGTTACATGGTGATAAGATGTCGGAGAAGATTCAGAAGAATGATTTTCACGAGTGCGATACTGAAGCAGAGCTCAGCGATGAGCAGAAGGTGGAGATGGCGAAATGGTTCCTCCTGAACTCCCCAGCCGGCGAAATCCAGTACGTCGCCAAAGGTAATGCTCTCTTCTGAGTTCTGCCCCATATTTCCCCGCTTGAAATTTGGGGTTCATTTCCTTTTTTTTGTTTCAGATATTCGAGCAGTGTTGAACGATGATAATGTATATACGGTTGCGGCTGAAGAGGCTTTTCCCTTGTACAACAAGTCGCACATGCTTTGCATCCAATTGCCTGACGGAAGTGGAGATGTTGGTTCATTTCTGTCTCTTTTCCTTGGTGTTTTTTTCCCCAATTTCTCAAACATTGTTGTTTTAATATGTCATTGTTGGTTTTTTTTTATTAAAAAAACATCCATTTTAGATTCTTTGAACGGTTAAATTTATGTTTTTGTTCTTTTGATTTGTTTGCACTCTTTAATCGAAGGATTCAGTTATGTTAAATTTATTGCTTAATTCAATCACGTATGGGTGTCTGCCTTAATTTTATCACAAGATCTATTTTATTTTCCATTATAAATGAAAACATGTGACTCCTTTCGTGCCCGGATTCAATATTTGAATGAAACTATGAGCAAAACTGTGTCATTTGCTTGTGCCTAATACTAATATAGTAGTAATGCTAAACTAGGAAATAATATATCTAGACATTTTCTTTTCATTCCAAGAAACTATGGATAATCCGTCATGGTGTATAACAAACGCACAACAATTGAAATTTCATAAAAGTATGGATCAGCTGCATTTGTCTTTAATATGTTAGTATGTTCATTTATTTTCCCAAGAAATTTAAAGTTTGGCTGACGGCCATGGGTGTTGGGTCAGCACCTCTGTTACCATAAACCGATTCTAGCTTTAAATCTGTGCTCTTTAATGTAGAATTCTATTGTAAATCATTTGCGCAGGTGCTGATTACATCATTTGGAGAAATTGATAAAAATGAGTATCTTGATCCTAGGACTGCCCAAGTTGCAATAATTGACCATCTCAAGCAAGTGAGTCCTTTTTACTCCTCTCAAATATAATGTATTTTGATGTCATCCTTGAAGTTCATTATGCTGTATTTTGTAACTTTCTCTCAAGGCATTCCAACTTAAATGAGTAGGTTTTTAAACTCTTTTTCATGATGTGTTTTTCAAGAATCCCATACCTCAAATAATTTCGGAAAAAATAAAAGCCATCTCTCATTTGTTTAATCTTCCCACTTTCTTTTTTGGATTGTCCCTAAATAATGTTCTCATTT